AGTTTAAGTCTGGGCACAAGACCCTCCGAGCCCACAGATAGCGGCTCAAGAAGCCCCATCCAAATAATATCCCTCTGGGCTTGAAATGGGCTACGACGCGGAGCCAGGACGTGACCGAGGGAAGCTCGGGATTAATGAGCTTAGGACATGGAAGCCCGAAGCAAGGCCAACCTAAAAAGCTGCAAAGGGACACGCAACCAAGGGACAAGGGAACACTATCTGGCAGTCTTGATGAACAATAACCCACAGATAGTAGGGACGGATCAAGGACAACAGTCTTAAGATAATGGAATCATAAACGTCCGGGATCACCGTACTAGCGTGAAAATAGATATAAAGGGGACCATTGGACCAACCAAGAAGGACAAATGTGAAACTTAAATTATCAATAGTATAAATAGTTGGGAGTGTTACAGTCAAATAAGAAAATACTAGTAAGCAAGCGAGAGAGAATCAAGTGATATCTTGTAATGGCACCAAGTTTCACTCTTTGTAACAACCACCGCCTTCATCAAGTAATACAATCCTCCAAGGAGCAAGAGTTTTCTGTAGAATGAATATAACTTTAATCTTTCAATTAAAGCGAACCACTTAAGTCTTCTTTTCTCTTCATTGTTCATTTACAACACACACCTTCCTACACACCCATTTAAACAATTACACACGTTATTCAATTTTGCCACCTAACTCCATCAGGTTCAAGCACCATCAAATATCATAAATAAAAAATGAGTAGTGCTATAAAACTCAAATGAAACCTAAAAAAATATAACTCAAATACATATCATCCCTTTAATTAATGGATCCGATTAAGTTTTTTTAGTGGGACTCACATCTTACACTCATCCAAGAGATGATACTCATTTACGTTTTAACTTTTGGGTTTCATTTGAATTATATAGCATTTTTCATAAAAAAAAAATATACACACTAGCGTTGTAATATCCATGTTGCACAAAAACTTTGACATTTACACTTTGTTAAATGGTAGGTGTGTTTGGATCATGTACTCCTACTGGAAATGAATATAAATGCAACCAGTGTATGGCACTAAGCAAATTGACAGAGAAGTCTACGGCCCATTGGGCCATCAGTTGACTAGACCAGCCATGTGGAGGTCCATAAATGACCCATTATGTTGATCGGTAATGTTCTGCTCCTTTTGCCCACATGTAATTGCTCAATAATTTTTTTTTTTTTGTTCAAAAATTGCTCAATAATTCACAAAAGAAAATATTATGTAGTCTAAATTTGTAACTCAAATTTGTATTTCAAATAAAGAGAGATCATTAGATGAGTAAGTTCCATCAATTTTTTTAATTGGACCCACTGATCTAATGGTCCCCATTCATTTGAAATACAAATTTGAATTACAGATACATAACATTACTCGTTAACAAATAAATGAGTAAATTGAGCCTCATTTTTTTTGTTTAGGATGGTTAGACCCTAATATAGAGTAGTAATTATTTGAAGGAGTACCGTTTACGTTACCCATTTGTTGAGTTATTATATAAAAGTTATATCACGTTATAATAATAATGTGGTGTAACAGTTACCATGAATACTTTCGTGGACATGTTGTTATACCCATTGGACCAGGTTGTTGCTAGACCCATCGGCCCGTCAAACAAACTGCTAAAGTGAAGAAAATTAAATTTTATTGTATTTGTTTAAATAATAAAAATTAAAAACCTAATTATAATCCGTGGCGTGGTACAAGAATTAGGCTATGACTCGAATCGACATTGAAGAATGTCTGATTTTTTATTCTCTTGCCCTTCTTGACATGTCTAGATGGAGGTATGGACGATCCTACCTACACTTGTTACCTTTACAACTTTACAATCTTTCTTTCTTCTATATTTTTTTTTTACTCATAGAAAAAAATTCACCATTTGAGATAAAAAAAAATTTAGTCATCAGAGATTTATCTCTCATAAAATTTTTAGTTTTGACGTGAATGACTTATTTTTTATTAGACTAAAGAGGAGAATAGTCGAGATGTGCCTAAATTAATCTTAAAACTCCTTATCGTAATAATAAAAAACAAAATAAAAAATTTCGAATATTTAGTTGTAGATACTTTTTTTTAATAACTTATTTGGCTTTAACTTTATTTTTGTTTTTATCTCTTGTGGCAATTGTTGGATTATTGACGATATCCATCTTCTCGTTATTACTAATTTCAAATGTGAACATCATCTGAAGACGCATTTCGTCCATTATTACTATTTTAAGTTGCTCAGTAGTTAAATGAGGTTTTACTTTAAGAATTTTTCCTTTAAGAAATTCAATGGGGTTAAATCCAGTATTTATGCTGGTGTTAGGAATAATTTCTTTAGAGGTTGAATCTTCATATTCTTCTTTTCCCATGTCTTTAAGATATTTCGCTATGACTGGAGTTTTAGATTCAAGCGAATAATTATTCTAAAATCAGACATGATATATCTATGATTAATCTGGGATATCTGTTTTGATTAAAATCACAAGTCAAAGTCCACACCTAAATCTATGTAACAAAGAATTCGAGTGAGAAATTAATAATAGACTTGACCTCAATATTATTATCTTTTAAGTATGGATTTTTATCTTTATATATGTCGAATACTTTTTTGATTTCTTCGGGATATATCCCTTTAATAGTACCATGAGTTTCCTACCAATCATAAAACCAGTTAGGGATTTCAGAACAAGTTTCTGTGAATTGGAAAAACCATGAGTACCCCAAATTTGGATAGTTATAAAGAAAGGCATTATACCAAGCATCAATATAATCGAAATAATTATACTCCATATATGAAGATTTTATTAAAGTTCTGGAGATTATTAAATTTAGACTCCAGTCTTTAATATATATTATTCTTAATATAACTGCTTAACTATATTGTGGATCTTTAAGATTGTATTTATTGTTAAAGAATCTCTTAAATTTAACAGAATATGTTTCAATAAGAATCTTTTCATAATATATTCTTTCTTTTCTTCTAGAGACCAAGAAGGTTTTATCCATTGTCATAAATTGTTTACCAATATAATATGAATCAGTCATTCAATTAATATATTCATTATTAAGAGTCATTATGCTGCTATAAGTAGGCAGAGTATTTAATTATATATAATTTAACTCGGATTTGGCTACTAAGGCCTCTTTAATTGATTTTTTAGATATTATGACAATATAACCGTCATCATCACTATTCTTACTTGTTTCTCTTTAAGAAGTTGATTATTGGCATCTTTAAGCTGTTTTGATTCACCAAGAGGTGGATAATAAACATTGATCTGGGTTCTTCCCCTAGATCTTCCTTTCCCATGACCTCGACCACGGTTATTGTTCTGGCCTCTGCTCATAAAAGCCTTGCAAAAATTTCCTTGTTTGAAAATCGGAAAGAGAATTTAATTATCTTTTAACATATTCAATTTTAAAATAAAAAACAGAAAAAATATCTTGTCATCTTGCAAATGTCTGTTTTGAAGTAATGTTCTTCACGTCCCGTTCAAGAACATTTTTGACAGAACTACAATTATATCTTAACAAAAATTCTTAATTTAATAAGTTATCTTGAAATTTACTTATGCATTTAACAATGGATAATTTTTTTTTAATCGTAGAATAATTTAGTTGAGTAGATCCCCTTTTACCTAAGATAAATTTAATAACTAATTCTTTATTAGAATTGAGATCTCTTTATTTAAAAATTCCTTCACATCCTTTATGAGAGGCATCAACTTTAACAATTTTATACCATGTTGGATTTACCAATGAAAGACATGGTAAATACTTAATTTTCATTATAGCTTCAGTGTGAAGATCTGTCCAAGAGAATGGATTATTCTTTAAGTCTAGAACATAAAATAACAGTGTCTTAGGCAAAAATTTTAAAAAAAACATGTTAAATAATTTAAACTTCTCAAAATCTTTGTAATTCCTTTTTATCTTTAATTTCATCAAAAAATTTAGAAGTAAATTCAATACTTTTTTCAATCAGGACTATACTCCATTGTTCAATATAATGTCCTAAAAATTGAACTTTTAATTGAAATAATTTCATTTTAATAGCTGAAAGAACTAAACCATTTTTTCTTACCACTCAAATGAACTTATTTAAATGTTTAAAATTCTGATCAATAGAATCAGAAAAAATTAGTATATCATTAATATAGGCAATACAAAATCCATGATAAAGATTAAATATGTCATTCATAATATTTTGAAATTCTATAGTACATTTTTAAGTCCAAATGACATAATATTTCATTCATAATGTCTAAAAGTTATTGTGAAANTGATAGGACATTTTTAAGTCCAAATGACTTAACATTTCATTCATAATGTCTAAAAGTTATTGTGAAAACAGTTTTATACCTATCTTTATCAGTAATTTGGATTTGTCAATATCCAAATTTTAAATCAAACTTGAAAAAGATCTTAACATTATATAATTGAGATAATAAATCTGGCAACTCCGGTGGGACAAGAACCCACAATGGAGATCAAAATGAACTTATTCTCAAATAAATTTTTTTAGTGGACTTTAGTTCAAATAAATCTACCAAAAAGGACCGGGCTTATCAAAAAAAAGTTAGCCCATTTCAATCACCATTGGCCCAACAAACAATCCCCAAGATCCAGGAAAAAGCCTGCCCAAAGAAAAATCAAACCTTTACGTGCCCTCAACATGCCACTCCGTGTCTGCCACGTGTCCCTCAACCTTTTTTCACCTCTTTGCAACCGTTGAATATAAAACGACAAAGCTTTCACACAAACACTGTTATCTTAAAGCCTATAGGCCAGGACACGTGACAACGTCACTTTCCTCCACGTCTCGCCTCCCCATTCGCCGTCTTCACGCGCAATGCCCATCTCACCGTCCTTCCTCACATGCTTCCAAATCGTAGCCGTAGCCCACGCTCTCGCCCACATCTCGCCACTTGTTAAACTTCCACGTGGCTTAAAAGTAACGGTTACTTTTAAGATTAGTCTTAAAAAATTTAAGATGAGTAATTTCTTTCTACCCTTTAAATCTTTCAAATTTCAATTGATACCCTAAAAGAAAAAAAATTTATGATTGTCCCCATGATGGTATAAATTATACCATTAATGTGTGTTCTAATGATATCATTTTGCTTCCTTGTTCCTTTAAGTCAGCACAAGTCACAATAGGCAGTTGCTTAACTTGAGAAAATAGTCGGCGCAAAATTGAACATGTAACAAAAAAAAAGTATTTTTTAATGGGATTGAGAATAAAATTGTATTGTGAATGTACAGTACAGTGAACAATCAAGAATAAAAATAATTAAGAAATCAAGAGCACCAAATTTATGTAATTCTATAAAAATTTTACTTGAGTCCACGAGAATGGCCTACTAATTTCATTATAAATCAAAATTCAAATAACTATAATATATTTATAGGCATACTCCAACTAAGAAACATTATTCTTGTAAATCAAATACACCAAATCTTTGTAAAACTTCTTTATCAAATGTATACTAAAAATTTATAATATATCATACCATATTATAGAGGCAACACCTCTAACCTATTATTCGATCAAGACAATTGATATTAGATATCACTTGGGGCTTGTGGATGTATGTTTATCCTTTGCAAATCAAGTCTAATGGCTCATTGACTTTTTAGCCCAAGTAATACAAGTCACTCACTCTAACAAAATTTCTTATATAAATACTTAAAATTAAAAAATTATTATATATAAGAAATAAAAAAAATACAACAAAAAGATCATTTAACAAAGCAACAAAAGTTTGAAAACTTATGGGGAAAGCAATAGAAGTTGGATTTAGAACCACATTTCTATATTTTTCTATAATTGTGGGCGTAAAGTGATAATTTTTATTCTTAGAGCACAAATAAAAACTTTGAAGATTTTCGGGGTACAAAATATCATTACCCAAAAGTTTATCTCAAATCACGGCCTATATATAGCCAATCTCCCCTCCCTTTCCTTCTCTCATATTTGTCGACAACTGCGACGAGCTTTCTACTCAGCTTTCGATATTTCGATTCAGCAAAAAACGTAATCCCCAATTGTTTGATCTGTTAAAGGGTGTTCTATTTGTGAATAGTTTCATCTATTTGAAGTTTTCATCCAATTATTCACTGACATGGCAATGAGTTTACCACACCAGATCGGAGCAATCGCCGGAACACAGATTCCCGACGGTTCAGGAAGTGTTTCAGGTGAGGCACCATCGGCGGCGACGGTTAGTGCGTCGGCGGTGTGGAGGTCACCAGGTGCAAGTCTCCGTCCTCTGCAAAAACTGGGTCCGGAGATTGACCAGCTCTCGCCGTCGCCGCCGCCGCTGAGTCCGAGGATTGGAATGCGGCCGGATCTGTCGGTGGCGTGCCAGGCTTTGATGGAACCGCCGGTGGTGACGGAGGAGGTGGTGGAGAGAGAGTATAGAAGTGGTGGTTTTGGGGGTAAGGGTAAGGGGGTACCAGTATTTGTGATGATGCCGTTGGATAGCGTGACGATGAACAATACGGTGAATCGGAGGAAGGCGNAGCAAGTCTAATGGCTCATTGACTTTTTAGCCTAGTAATACAAGTCACTCACTCTAACAAAATTTCTTATATAAATACTTAAAATTAAAAAATTATTATATATAAGAAATAAAAAAAATAAAACAAAAAGATCATTTAACAAAGCAACAAAAGTTTGAAAACTTATGGGGAAAGCAATAGAAGTTGGATTTAGAACCACATTTCTATATTTTTCTATAATTGTGGGCGTAAAGTGATAATTTTTATTCTTAGAGCACAAATAAAAACTTTGAAGATTTTCGGGGTACAAAATATCATTACCCAAAAGTTTATCTCAAATCACAGCCCTATATATAGCCAATCTCCCCTCCCTTTCCTTCTCTTATATTTGTCGACAACTCCGACGAGCTTTCTACTCAGCTTTCGATATTTCGATTCAGCAAAAAACGTAATCCCCAATTGTTTGATCTGTTAAAGGGTGTTCTATTTGTGAATAGTTTCATCTATTTGAAGTTTTCATCCAATTATTCACTGACATGGCAATGAGTTTACCACACCAGATCGGAGCAATCGCCGGAACACAGATTCCCGACGGTTCAGGAAGTGTTTCAGGTGAGGCACCATCGGCGGCGACGGTTAGTGCGTCGGCGGTGTGGAGGTCACCAGGTGCAAGTCTCCGTCCTCTGCAAAAACTGGGTCCGGAGATTGACCAGCTCTCGCCGTCGCCGCCGCCGCTGAGTCCGAGGATTGGAATGCGGCCGGATCTGTCGGTGGCGTGCCAGGCTTTGATGGAACCGCCGGTGGTGACGGAGGAGGTGGTGGAGAGAGAGTATAGAAGTGGTGGTTTTGGGGGTAAGGGTAAGGGGGTACCAGTATTTGTGATGATGCCGTTGGATAGCGTGACGATGAACAATACGGTGAATCGGAGGAAGGCGATGAATGCGAGCTTGCAGGCGTTGAAGAGTGCTGGTGTGGAGGGGATAATGATGGATGTGTGGTGGGGACTGGTGGAGAGAGAGTCGCCGGGGGAGTATAATTGGGGAGGGTACTCGGAACTCTTGGAGATGGCGAAGAAGCATGGCCTTAAGGTTCAGGCTGTCATGTCGTTTCATCAGTGTGGGGGAAACGTCGGTGACTCTTGCACGTGCGTACATACTCTCTCTCTCTCTGCATTTGTCTATTGTTGTCTTTATTCAAAAGTCTTGAAAATTCTGGGCAACTTTTACTAGAACTTTGTGTTTGTGCTCATTTGATTTAGATCTGGTACTGGAGAAAGTCTAAGGCCTTTTTCAGTTTTTTGATAAATACACAACTGTGATTATACATGGAAAAGGTGAAGGGGAAAGGATTGGGTAGAATCTTACTTTTGTTAAAGATTAATTGGGCCGTGAATTTCATTTGTGCGCAAAAGGATAGAACTATTAATCAACAGTTTTTTAGTTGTTTTGGTCTAATTTTGATGGGTTTTTATTGGACTCTGATTAATACTAGATTTTCTCCATTCTTGAAGACTTTAGAGCATCCAAGTGGGATACATTGTATTCAATTTGGTTTTTCTACTAAACATGGTGGATGATCTAGAATGGAGTGAGTCGAGGGAATCTACTGAAGGAATCGTAATTAAATGTTACCATTTTAGACCCAGTGTTAGTCGGCCTGTCTTTTGATTTCCATTGAAAATGCCCAGAATGGATGTAGATCACCAATTAGATTGGATGAGTTCCCTTTGGCCTTTCCTTGATTTCCATTAAAAAATGTTCAGAATGGCTGTAGAACATAAAATAGATTAGACCCAGATCCAATTGGCCCTTCTTTTGATTTCCATCAGGAAAACGTCCAAATTACACTTACTAGGACTTTAGATTCACGTTTAAGGTAGGGTGGGATTTAGTAAACAATTCCATTGGCTGACTGTAAGAAAGTGTTATAGTTTCCTTGTAACTACGTCTCAGTTACATCGAGTAAAAGAACTACTTTTGGGTTTATTAAGAATTTTTAAGATGCTGAAATTTTATTGCCCTAACAAAGAGAAAGCAATTTTTTTGTTTCATTGAGTATCATACAGATATAGATGCATATAACGAGGGGTCTCATCCTGACATAGCTTTTCATTTTCCCTTGCCATGATTTGATGATACTGTTTCTGATTGCCAAGCCAGCTATCTATCAATTCTTAAAGGGGAAAAAGATTCATTAGGCATTCGACTATTTTCAAGCCTTTTTTGTTTGAGGAGGAGAGGGAGGTGAAAATAACTTTAGTCCACTTGTTTGGATTTAGTTGTGGTCATGCTCTGTTGTTGGGGGAGTGGTCTGGTATGCTATGGGACTTAATTCAAGTGAAAAGATGGAAGGGAAACTGATAAAAGAGAACAGGGTGAAGACATGTTTAGTATTACGTTTTATTTCTTCTGGTAGATATCATATGCATGTGCTCGGGGATGTTTTTGTTTTGTTTGTGAATAGAATTGCTTAAGTCATCAATATATGCGGTGCACAGTCATTCATCTAGCTCATTAATTTAGTAGCATCTTATATATACACTTTGATGCTGAAAACTTGGGCATATTGTTCTTAATGAATCTTGATTTGATGTTCTTTGTTACAGTATCCCCCTTCCGAAATGGGTTGTGGAGGAAGTTGACAAGGACCCTGACCTTGCATACACTGATCAATGGGGCCGAAGGAATTATGAATATATATCACTTGGTTGTGATGCTCTTCCTGTCCTAAAGGGTCGAACACCTGTTCAATGTTATTCTGATTTCATGCATGCTTTCAGGGACAAATTTGAGCACCTTCTAGGTGACACCATTGTGGTAATTACTGGTGCTCGTATTTCTTTCATATTTGATCCGTTGGGTGTTTAAGAATGCATGTCTTAGTGTACCAGCTTTAAGTTTAGCCAAAATGTTTGAAAAGTTCTGTCATCTGAACACCATAAAAATTTGTTCATCTAGGAAATTCAAGTTGGAATGGGTCCAGCTGGTGAGCTCCGTTATCCATCATACCCAGAGCAAAATGGAACGTGGAAATTTCCTGGTATTGGAGCGTTCCAATGTTATGACAAGGTACCCAGTCCTCCACAACCCCAACCGCTTTCCTTCCTTTCCTCATCTTATTCTTTTAATGATGTTGTAAGAATATCTCTTGCTTGTAATTTGCTGGTTCTTACATCATCTTATGTGTCATACTGCAGTACATGCTTAGTAGCCTAAAAGCTGCTGCAGAAGCTAATGGTAAGCCAGAATGGGGATCCACTGGCCCAACGGATGCTGGCCAGTATAACAACTGGCCAGAAGACACCAATTTTTTTAAAAAGGAAGGTGGCGGTTGGAATGGTCCTTATGGTGAATTTTTCCTCACGTGGTATTCTGAGATGCTTCTAGCCCATGGAGAGAAAATTCTGTCATCGGCCAAGGCCATCTTTGAGAATATGGGTGTGAAAATCTCAGTTAAGATTGCTGGCATCCACTGGCATTATGGAACTCGATCCCATGCCCCTGAGCTCACAGCAGGGTACTATAACACCCGTTTCCGAGATGGGTACCTTCCCATTGCCCAGATGTTAGCCCGCCACGGTGCTGTATTCAACTTCACTTGTATTGAGATGCGAGATCATGAGCAGCCACAGGATGCCTTGTGTGCACCAGAGAAGCTGGTTAGGCAAGTGGCCTTAGCCACTCAAGAAGCTCAGGTCCCGTTGGCAGGGGAGAATGCATTGCCACGATACGATGAATGTGCACACAAGCAGATCTTGCAAGCGTCGTCATTGAATGTTGATGGTGATTCGGATGTAAGAGAAATGTGTGCGTTCACTTATTTGAGGATGAATCCAGACTTGTTCCAGCCAGATAACTGGAGGCGGTTTGTCGCGTTTGTGAAGAAGATGAAGGAACGAAAGGATGTGAACCGGTGTTGGGAACAGGTTGAGCGTGAGGCTGAACATTTTGTGCACGCAACTCAGCCATTAGTGCAAGAGGCTGCTGTTGCTCTTATGCACTAACAACTTAGGCTAAGGATGCTTTCTTAGTCATATAGACCACAAGGTTTATGTCATGGTGCTAATAGTGATTGGGTCACTGCAGCTTTGTTGTAATTTTCATTTTGTAAGATGTATTATAACGATGGAGAATGCTTTAATACCTCAAGACTTCACAGTCATATTTTCTTCTCTCTCTCACACACACACGCCCACACTATTTTCTGAAGGATACTGGTGTTGTGAAGGACTATCTTTACTGCGTTGTCCATTCCGGTCATTGTTATTTGATGCACATAGTATATCATTAGACGCCAAGGAATTCCAATGCTTCTGTCCTCGGTGCTTCTTGCACCGAACGTGTATCATTTTCAGAAAACACTACAAAGGCTTGACAGAGTCGTGTGCGACTGTATTGCATACGCAATGTGGAACAGTAACGGAATAGAATGTGTCGAATTAGATACAACCCATCTGGTTTGCAACAATATTCGACAATACTTCGGACCATGTTGTGCCGTATTTCAAATGCAATCACAACTCTCTATGGATTGCTTCTCCATTTCGTTGTAAACTTTAATTTTGATAGTTGAGAATCTTAACTACACGTCTTATAGATTCGTGGTTTGAAAAAAATCAAAGTACACACTATGATCAACAAACTATTAGTATCGAGTTAACAAAGTCGTCTCTTGTGGGACTTGAATTGGAAGCCTCGGGGTATTAACCCCCAAAATCCCAGCCAATCCAACTATTCTAAATTGTTTATAGCTTGTCATTTTTATTCCAATCATAACTCTGGCATTACCAAATTCTAGGTTAACACGTGAGATTCAACGTGGGGCTGCATTTCCTTTTGGCTGCAACCTTTCATAAGATCCAAGATATCAAGCAAGGTTGTGTGGTTTTCTCTTTTGTTTAGATTCATTTCTAAGGGGGCTGGCTAATGTATATGTAAAGCCTAGCTTATATGTATTATTCTTATGGTTCTATTTAAGTAACAATAGTCTTTCAATTTTCATAACAATGACAATTGTTCAGCCTATCTGATAGATACGAAAATCTCATATTCGTTCATCTGGTTCATAAAATTAGAATCGTAAGTAAAAACACTTACAATCCTGCTTGTCAACCGACAAAATCTAGATGAATTAACCAAATAATTAGGCATTTGATGTACTACTGTAATAAAATTGAGGGGCACAAAGAAAGCTTGCTTTCTTGGACACATAAGAAAGTTGAGGTCTTTAGTGTATGATATGACATAAAATTATTGTTTAGAATTTACACAGAACTACCTAATGATGTGGTGGGGGAACAATTATTCAGGTCTGGAACATGTCTAGCGTAGGTTGATAGTTTTTAAAACGATTCGTCAACCAGAGATGAAATAAGTACAAAAATATTGGATATGAATTTATATTAACGAGTTCAAGTCATATTCGAATTTACTCGTCACGTTTGCTCAAATACTAAATCATACATTGGTTGGGTCATTTTAACTTAACATGAATTAAACACCCAACACGACATGACACGATCTATTATCAGTCCGACTTGAGATAGCATTAGCCACAAAATCTATAGGCTGTCCAAAATCAAACGATTGATATCGATCATTCTAGGTTCTTCATGTTGTAGAGTTCAAATCTAATCAGAAATCCAAAATTATCTAGTGGTTTATTTTTGTGGCATTGGATGAACGATCCTCAATTGTACTCACATGCCAAAAGATTCAAAATCTCAAAAGCATCCATGCGTTGATGGTGATACTTTTCAGCTCCAGTTTCAATGGGGTGATAGTGATAGTTACCAGCTCCAGAAGTCTCCATTTGGTTCTTGTGAGTTGTGACCGACCTGTCTCTCTCTTTTGGTGTACGTCCAGATGAATCGTCCACATATGGCTGGTTGGGCAGTACAAGTTGATTTCCCCAACTGTGTTCCAATTAAAGAAGACGAAAAGTTCCCACCAAAATCATATCACTTGAAAAAAAAAAGGGGCAATTTGCAAGTTTTATATATATTGGTTTATAAGTGAGGAGATGTTTGAACTAGTTTACGCATATCTTGACTTCGATTCGGTTAAAAATAGGTCATCCACGTGAGTGAGAGTCTCACCCCTGTGCACGTGAGAGTCTCAAGATCTTTCTTTAATTCAAAGACTAGATAACACTAGTATATATATATATATTCAAGTACCTTTGAATATTTAGTCGACGTGGGATTGAGTTTTCACATATAAAAAAATACTCTTTTAGCTAAAATATTCTAACAATATGTTTATTCAATGAATGAAAACAAAAACCCATAGAGTAGTTATTATTGATAAGTCTTCGTTCTTTTTCTAGTCTAAGTTTTTGTTCAGATTATATCATTAACAATGAATGTAAGGATTAACAACCATTGACAATGGGCATAATTTTTCTTAAGAGCCTTCGGCAAGGTATGAAATTCAAGGTCTGAACCCGAAAAAAAATCTTTCTTTGTAGATATATGATAATCGTTACTGATTTAAAAAAAAGATCTTATCTCGTGAGTGTTAGCGTACGTTTTTCATTCTTCACCCACCTCTCTAAACATGTCATTTGACTCCATTCTATCGTATCAATTTCACAAATTTAAATAGAATGAGAAGAATTGAGACTCAATTGACTTTTTAAAGACATTATTGCCCCTGTTTGAAATGTGTAATTTACAAATTAGCCAAAACAAAAGACTTGGTTTGTATACTTTTCAGTAGGGTTAGCAATAGATTTTGTTTTGTTGGATCGTATTACGTTAGAATTTGTTTAACCCATACGCAACTCACTTATATTTGTGCTTAGTCGGGTTGGTGTTGTGTCGAGATTCTCAACCGTCTCCTATTTACAAGTTACACATTAATGACAAACTAAATACAAATTCATAATGACAGACTCAGATTGCTGAAGTATTATAATGCATGGAGAAGCGTAGTTTACGTAGAGAGGACCAAACCACTGCTGACTGTTTCCACATTCACGTTGATTCACCATCCTATGCCCTGGTCAAGAGCAGCATTACCCTCTCTCTCTCTCTCTCTCTCTCTCTCTCTCTTCGTATAAATCACCCTCTGCTACACCAGAGATTTCAATACCATATCAGAACTTTGCTTTAAGTCTCTCAATTTTGTAACTTTTCAACGGAAAAAGGAAAGATGTCGAGTACTCAGTTCAATGCAGGTCAAACCCATGGCCAGGCACAGGTAGTAAGGAACCTTCAACTTTGTGTGTTAGGAGAGAGGAATAAGCTAATGTGTTATATATATATATATTACCTCCTCTCGTATTCTTCTATAATTTCAATATCTGTAGTTATCTCTATTTAGGAATGGTAAATGATCTCAACTTGACTCGATTATGTCTCATTTCAGTCCATTTGAATTGAAACGAAATGAGAATTTGATTACAATGTCTTAGCTCATTTTGTGAACGACACAATTTGAATAACATGTGGCTCGACTCGAGTAGGCTTGACTCAATTTGAATTAATTTTTGTTTATAATTTTTTTCATCTCTATCAAAAAATCCATATTCAAAAGATAAATAACCTCAAATTTATACCTAAACAAATCTCCAAATAGCTCAACATCCTCCTCTCTCTCTCTCTCTCTCTTGATTTTTGAAATATAATTAGCAGAGTTTTGTAGGATTAATAGTACTTTTAGTTCCTAAAGTATACATTTTTTTTTAGTTTAGAACATCTCTAACCAGTATGCCACATGCCAAGTAGAGGCTCCAACTGTTTTTTTTTTGGCATGCAAGGCTTCTCTAACCGGGATGTCAATTAATTTGGCATATCTCAATAGATATGTCAAATTTGACATATCTCAATATTTTATAGAGTTGTTGGGTGTTTAATGCAATTTATTTTATGTAGTAACATATAATTTGGTTAGCTAAGTTTAATGAAAATTTTAGTTTTAATCAAATATATACTACTTTTCATATAAAATTTATAATATTTATTTTAATTGATCACAAAATTTATTTTAGATACATATATTAAATTAATATAAGGAAAGAGGTTCAAATATAAATTTTGCATATAGCATTTGACATCTCCATTGGAAATGTTCTTGGTCATTATTGTATCAATTTTATTAATTTGGTCTCCAATCAGACAATTCATCGAGTTTTTTTTACAGAAGTAATCATTTGTCATTTTTTTAGACAGAATCACGTACCCCCACACGTAATCGTTCCATTAAAAACTTAACAGTCCGTCTATGTAGGAACAGAAATGACACGAATTAAATACTTTAGAGACCAAATTAACAAAATTAATACATATTTTAACATAATATATATGTTATTATGATTCACTTAGCCCAACAATTGTGAAACTTCTAATGTGCATACATTATGATTTTTTTAACCTCTGCTGTTTGTAAAAAGAAAAAAAAAATCAATGTGTCTTTGTGGTGGGTAGGCCAAGACAGAAGAGTGGGTCCAATCAGCTAAAGACACAGCAAACGCAGCATCTGATAGGGCCTCCAATGCAACCCAGAATACCCGGGAGTCAGCCCAGCGCGGGGCGGACCAGACCGCTGGTTTTCTCCAACAGGTACGACTACGAATTGGCAGAGTTCATATTATCAATGGACCATGTCGTATTGAAGATTTGAATTGTATGCGTGTCATATTAGAATTATCTAACTTATATCAGATTTGTTTATAACCATGCAGTTGGATTTATGTCTTTTTAAATTCGTATTGATCTATTTATTAGATATGTCTAAGGGATTAACGGATTTATAACTCGAACCAGTTAAGATTAAACTCGTATTCAATAATTTAATGTCAAGTCCAAGTTAAAATTAGCCAGAAAGCATCCAAAGTTGATACAAGGTACCACGAGCCATTGTGGCTCAGTGGCATAAGGGATGAACTCTTAGTTATGGGTTGGGTTAAGAGAGATGTATAAAAAAAAAATAAACAAACAAGTTGATGGAGGTTGAGAATGCAAATAATTAGTGTGGCATCACTGAAAATACAGATTATTTGGTTAGAAAAGAGTGAATTTTGAAAAGGAATCTTGTGTGTTTTAAGGTATAATTATTTTCACAATTGTTATGAATATCAATGTCAGACCTTAGTCCAATACTCAAGTTGTTTAATTGTGACCTGGATGCAATGAGTTCCGATCACAAATACAATGATATTTTTATAAACGGGAATAAAATTGTATATATCTGACCATTTCTAGATCTAACAATAACGGGAAATTCATGTATTAGGCTTTTGTTTGTTTATGTTGCTAATAAATGGGGTCTATATTATGCTTATTCTGATTTAATTAGGGACTTACTATGTAATTTTGTATTTGCAACAGACAGGAGAGCAAGTGAAGAACATGGCTCAAGGTGCCATAGATGGTGTGAAGAACACACTAGGAGTGGGTGACAAGAAGTGAAAGAAGGAAAAAAAAAAAGCCATCTCCCTCTCATAGAGTTGTGATATGCTATTGTATTGGTCTATTTTTGTTTATTAGGATTTTTCCTATATTTTATAGGGCATAAGTGAAATTGTCTAGTGGTTTTGAGAACTCTTTTAGGAGGATTCTCACAAGAGTTAATAAGAGCTTTAGCAATTCAATGCTAGGGGGAGGGGTTTAGGGTTTGCTTGTTCCTACTTTGGGTATTAGTGAAATGTTCCATTAGTTTGGGATTTCTATAAATTGAGCTCTCATTGGTGTAATAAATGCATATTAATTTGCAAGTTTGAACAAAAGAGGAGAGCTTCTATTGTCTTTGCATGTCTAATATTTGACTTGATTTAGTTTAATTTGCATCCCCAATGTGTATGTATTAATCTTCACGCCATAGAGGATAAGAACAACATAATCGATGAGTGAAGCAAAATAATCCATGTAAAAACATATATTACATGTGCGATCATGTTATTAGACAATGAAATTAAAGGTTAGTGACAATTATTAAGTTTTGGTTGTCTAAGCTAATGTGTGAAACCTCATTCTACAAAAACAAAATATGAGAAAAAGAGGACCTTGTTTTTAATTATATACTCCATATGACTCCTATGTGATCCTTTTCCATTAACAATGCAACCGAAGAATCACATTGAACAATTAGTAATATTATTTGAATTTAATTTATTGATCTAATTTATTATAATTATTAAATTAGTAACAAATTTTAATCAATATTAAGATTTATTGTCAATTCAATGATAATGATTGATTAGGTTAGCAACCTAAGTCAGTAAATTAAGTCCAGCTGTCATTGCTCTTGAACAATGGTTAAAACTTGGGGGCTAGGATACAATTAAGTGAAACTAAGGGCGGTAGTAACAAACTAACCCAAAAGATAATAATATCCGTTACATGACCGTTAACTGCTTGGCGCCACAACTCTCTCGGACCTTCTTTCCGCCAATTACGTGGACAAACATTCTCCCAAAAGATCTCCTCATCTCCTTCACTAAATTACCCAAACTGCCACTTCTCCCCTCTCTCTCTCTCTCTTTCTCTCTCTCTCACACACACACACACACACATCGATGGTCACTCTTCGAACTCACCATGCGCACCTCCTTCAACTCGGCTGTCATTCACCGAGATTCCTCCACTTTCGAAACCCTAATTCCATTTCATTTTCCAAGAAACCGCATTTTCCTGGGAAAATCGGGTTTTTGAGTTCTGGTTTTGGAAACACAAGTCGAGGGAATTCGTTTAATTGTTGCTTTTTAAGCAATGGAAATACTGAAGTTGAGACTGTCACGGCTAAGGATGAGAGAGAAAGGCCTTCGTTTGATATCAATCTGGCTGTCATTCTTGCTGGTTTTGCATTTGAAGCCTACACAACCCCACCTGTAACGTATCTTCATCAGTATCAATATTTTTTTCCCTGATATTGTAAAACATTTTCACTGTATGTTTGGTTGTTGAGAAAATGGAGGGAAAGTAAAGAAAAGAAAAGAAAATTTGAGGAACCTAGTAATATAAGATTTTGTTACTCAGTGCTGTAAATTGGTATCGGACCCAACCCTTAGGATTATTATACGTAGTATGGCTATCATCGAATCCACAACTTCATTAGTTTAGCCAACGAGTTTACTAGCGATGGCCTCAAAACTGACATGGTTTAAAATGTTCTTATATAGAGATGAATAATTGAGGGGGAAAGGTATATGTGTCATCTGATCTTTTTAAACTACCAACTGGTGAATAAATTCAACTGTGCTAATACAATTTTCTTTCTTATTTTTTTTTTAATTTGATAACAATTCTGATTTGTATTGAATACATTTGGTTTCATTGGGATCAGGAGAATTTAGGAAAGCGAGAGGTGGATGCAGCCAATTGTAAGACAGTGTTTCTATCAGAGTATGCAATTGTGTTCCATTTAGTGCAATTTTCAAAAGCCACTAGAAAAGGCATTTGGTTATGCATCACTAGCACGTTGTCTAATTGTAGGACACAATTAGTGATTGATTACTTTATATTGGAGTCTGTACTCTTTTGGTATATTAATTGTGATTGCTGCCACCAATATCTGAAACTCCTTGTCTAAATGAATTAAACCTGTGAAATTTGATACCAAATCTTCTTCCTGGAATTGATATTATTGTACCAACTTCTGATGTTATGAAGATAAGGAGGTGCCATTGTAGGTCTCATTTCACTTGATTGAGTTGCTCTTGGTTAGTTCTTCTAGAGGGTACACTCTTTAGATTGTTAATCATAGCACTAGCACAGGGTGCTAGTTGTCATCCTGCCACACAGCATGGATGTCAAAAGTGTGCAAGATAATAATTGTGTGTGCTGCCTTAATTATAAATGGAATTCAAAAGATTCAGCCATGCCAGATATTTGAAAGAGCAATGAAGAGGATGTTATAGTGTTGTAGCGGATGAACCATCATCTGAAATTGAACTTATGAGCAGTCCCTTTTAAGTATTCGAAATTAAGTTTACTCTGTTGATATCTTTTCAAATAATTCAAAACTAAGATCTGAATTGCATTGTCTTTGGTTTAATTCATTGTTCTGGAAAAATGGAAATTTTATGCAATGGTGGGTAATACAACAATTTCCCACTCAAAAGAATATTCCACTTACAAAGTATGGGAATTTTGGATTGACCTCTGATGTATTAAAAGTGAATAAAAGATAGCCATAATCAGTTTTTGTCGAAGAAAATGCAACTATTCTTCCATCCATAAATTTGAAGAATTTAATAAATCTCTAGAATGAGGATATTTATGAATATTTCCGTTCCAAATTGTTTTGATTATATACTTGTTGCAATGGCATTGCTTTGCTAATCTTATAACCTAAATTTTCTGACTGAAACTTGCTGGGAAACTCTAGAGCTCAGTTCATTTAATCGTCAGTACTCTTTTTTTTTTTTGGGGGGGGGGGGGGGGAGGGGGTTTTGAACCCTTGACCTCAAGAATGCAAAACCTTCACAAGGTAAAGAATACCATTTGACGAAAGGCCCGTTTGTATTTAATCGTTAGTACTAGGTACACAAATCACCTAGTAATCTGTCACAGAAAAAGTTTTATGATACAAGTAGGATTTAGAATATATAACCATTGTGACTTCTAAGTTCAAGGATGATTTCTTATTTGTAGGTCTTTTGTGCGTGAGATTTATGATGGTCAGTTATTCATAAAGCTAAAGAAAGGTTTTAATTTTCCTGCCATGGATCCATGGGTAGGTATCTTTCCTCTTGTTTTCGTTTCTACATTTATAAGTAGTAGAACTTCATTTTAAGTTCCACCAGTGGTCTGCTTCCTTGTATTACCTCGATAACTTTACACCTTTTGTTCTTAAGGTTATTATTAATTTACTGAGACTCAAAGCAATCAATCTTTTTTAGTTCAATGCTTTTCTTTTTTATCCTTCAGCCTTCTTTACTTCCAGGGAACAAGTGATCCATATGTGGTCATGCAATTGGATAGCCAGGTCTTCAAAAGCAAAGTTAAATGGGGGTAAGGTGCTGGTGTTCTCATAGAAGTCACCAAAACTAACAATTCTTTCGTAAAGGGTGTGAAAAAATTGTTTGTGGTCTGCATCATGTTATGATTGAGAACTTTCGTGCTGTCATGAGCTTGTTTCTAGTTTGAACCAGACCCCTGGACTAGGAGTTGCACAACTTGTTAAGACTTGTTGTTTATATTAATGACAGTCTACAGAAACCACAATTTAAGAAAATTCAAATTGAGAGAATCTAATACTAATAACTAAGTATCAAGTAAAAGGATGTTAAAGTTGGATGTTCTGTTTATTAAATGTTGCCTCTTGATCCCGGCATAGGTATGAACTAAGTAGGAGCTATTGGTTTAGGTTCTCATTTTAAATTTCTTCTTTTCAACTGGTTATCAAGTCTAATCTTATCCAACAGCTCATTAGAGGATTTTCTGCAAGCTATAATTGTTGTGATTTGATATTTTTATATTGTTGAAGGAACTCATAAAAAAATTGATTATTTCTCTTGATTATCGCTATTCTTGGTTTGGTTTGTGTGAGGACCCATAAATCAACCCTTCCTGAATTTTCCTCCATTTATTTTGGGAAAACATTATTTTCTATGCGAGCTGCTATTTTCTCTAAAATCAGCATGTTCTTTACTAAGGTTTATCATCTTATTTGATGTAGATTGCATTCATGAGCATTGAACGTTCTTAGTGTAGCTGCTGTTCATTTATCTAATTTCTTTGCCATCCGGAAGGATCATTTCAGATACCTTAGACACATGAAGTTTGATAACTGAATGATGGCAGGACAAGAGAACCAACATGGAATGAGGAGTTCACTCTAAATGTCAAGCAGCCCCCATCGAAGGATCTTCAGGTCGTATTCTTTTAGGCTTTGTTTTTCTTTTCAGTCTTGTTCCAAGAAGCACCTGACCTTACTCTGAATCTAACTTTTTCTTTCCTCTCTCTCTCTCTCTCTCTCTCTATGTGTGTGTGTGTGTGTGTGTGTGTGTATGGCTGGGTGTCACGAACCATACTCATGAGCTGTAAATGATGGCTGCTTCTGTTAGGTTAACATAGTTGATTAATTACAGAAGAAAGTGTCTGGGCTCATCCAAATCAGGATATTAAGGGCTGGAGAGATGGGGATTATTTTGGGTCAAAGAGCAGGAAAGTTAAGCGAGAAGAAAGAAATAACTCTAGGCAATCAAACCAAGAGCTTTAGGCATCACACCCAAGAAGAGAGATGCATCACACCTCAATAGAGATTGCTAAATTTGTTTCTTAATTGCATACTTAAAACATCATATATAAACATATAGAAATAGGGGTGCAACTTGGACAGATCAACCCCACCCAACCCGAAATATTTAGTATGTGGGCAGAAATTTCTGGTTCTCGGGTTAGGCTTGAATTAAAAATCGCAACCCGATTGAAATTCAAGCAATATTCGGGGTTAGAGTCTGGATGCTACCCAAGTTGTATTACTCTAGAATCAAACATGATTTCACTCTGGATCTTCAACTGGACAATTGAACCCAATTTTCAGCTTGAGGTGTGTAACCCAAATTCAACCCAAGCTAAAAAATTTAAGTAGGGGAAGTACTCGGTTTGAAGGATTAGGCTTGAAGTAAGGTTTGGGCTGAACTAGGATTGAAGGTTTTATTACTTGGGTGGAGCCCAGTTTCACCTCACAACTCTCCCAATCCACTTGAGTTGCACCCCTATAGATAAAATGGCTAAGACCATAGAACAATAGAGCCTTTTAAATATTAGACTGCATATGAGGTTTGTTCATCTCTCAAATCAACTCTGACTTTCACAATAAAAAATTATTTTAATCATATTTTTAGCAATAAAAAATAAATAAACTATTAATTGGAAAAGAATTTAATACTTTAATAATCTATGATAGACTATGGTACCAAAACTTATTATTTGATATCATACCAAAAAATAGTTTTTGATCATTGATTTTCCATTGTTTGAATGGTAGTCATTGATTACAAAAATAATAAAATAAAAAATTTATGTATTTCATTTGTATTGGATAAAATGGATATATAATACCGATACATTACAAAATTCAATTCTTCCAATCTAATATCAACTCTACACAAAGAGAAAAAATCTGTGCACTTGTGTGTGGGAAGCGCGTAGGGGGAGAGAGAGAAGCGGTGAGATTTCTTTTAGTTGGAGGTATGATATTCTTTATATATGTAGAATTTTTGATTGCCATTAATTGGGGGGGGGGG